GTCATACGCAGCTGTCATCGAAGTAAGCACAAGATGCCGAACACCTTCCTTATTACTTAGCAGGATGCAGCGCACCCTTAATGCGACTCGCCGAACACCTCACGACGCTTCGCGCTTGGTGATGTGAGAGCCTGGTCCGGTGAGAACCCGACGTGCTCCGTCCCGGCTTTGTAGGGATGCGAGGTCAATGNCTCACGGCGCTTCGCGCTTGGTGATGTGAGAGCCTGGTCCGGTGAGAACCCGGCGTGCTCCGTCCCGGCTTTGTAGGGATGCGAGGTCAATGGTTTAACAGCTACGGCATGCACGACTATGAGTACACCCCCCCCTCCCAAGCTCATGATGGTGCAGGCCACCCCAACTCTCGAAATCATGGGTTCGAATCCATGTGGTGGTGTCTTTTTTTTCCAAGACATTTTTTTTTTCGGAGTCCATCACATTGATTGGCGCCCCCCACACCCTTCCCCTTCTTCCCCTGGCTGCCTCGGCAAGGTTTTGCGTAGGTATGACCCATAGCGAGGGTGGGGGTCTTTCTAGCGAGCAGGGCTAAACTCACCCTCAAGGGACCGATACCTTCTTGCTGCGGTGCACCCGCCGCGAGGCGTGCGTAGTGGTGGAGTTGGGTCGGCACTGGTGCGTCAGGTACAAAGGTGCAGATGCGCGGGCCTCCAGGCCGTCGGTGTAGGCAGCAATGCCCATCTCATCTTTGTGCGCGGAGGCAAACGTCATCAGAAAGGTGGACGGGCACTATGTACACGGCCCTAGGTTTGCTAGAGGGAGCTGTACTGTCTCAGTAACCTGGTTTTGCCATCAAAGGAGGAGGGGACAGGTGGCGACGAGCTGATTGGGCTGGTTGACCCTTCGGCGCGAGAATTTTCAAACCAAGAACAACCCTAAGTGCAACGCGGAGAAGCGAGGAACCGACTGGGAAGGGCAGCGACGAGAGCGTGTACGAAGCGGAGCGGGTCGAGTTTGGTCGTGCTNAAGGCCCTAGGTTTGATAGAGGGAGCTGTACTGTCTCAGTAACCTGGTTTTGCCATCAAAGGAGGAGGGGACAGGTGGTGACGAGCTGAT